GTTTTTTTTTTTTTTTTTTTTTTTTTTTTTTTTTTTGTTATCTATTTTGTTGCGGAGTATATTCTGTTAATATGATTGGAAATACCATTCCTAATTCATATACGAAGTTTAGATGATGGATGCTATTGTTTCAATTTCTGCATGTAATTTTGTAGGAGGAGACCTAAACATAGATTCTTCATCCTCGTTGAATTTCATATACATTCCCCCAATCTTAATATTTAGATTACTCCATTCTTCTTCACAAATAGCAAGAAGCTTTAGCTCCATTCAAATTCTTGAAGGATACATTCTTAACAAAACTGATATACTCTTTAATTGTACACATTCTACGAGTTTATCCACTCCTTATTAGTTAGTATAATATCCAACTCCTTTGGTAATGACTGAAGTTTTGTTTCATATGTGCATTCTTTTAGTTGGTTGGATTATGTAACGTTAGTTGTATTTATTTTGTTTGCATATCTTGCAGGAAGACTAGAGGAATGGGAGCTGGACGTAAGTTGAAGTCCCACCGTAGAAGGCAGAGATGGGCAGATAAGTCATATAAGAAATCCCATCTTGGTAATGAGTGGAAAAAGCCTTTTGCAGGGTCATCTCATGCGAAAGGAATTGTGCTCGAAAAGATGTAAGGCTATTGCTGCTTATGCTATTGTCGATGTGTTATCAATATTTATTAGTCTTGAATTTTCTAATGCAGTGGAATTGAAGCCAAGCAGCCAAATTCTGCTATTAGAAAATGTGCTCGTGTTCAACTGATTAAAAACGGGAAGAAGATTGCTGCTTTTGTACCTAACGATGGCTGCCTCAATTACATTGAGGAAAATGTAAGTTCATCTAGTTTGCTTGTGCAGTGAATTTTAGTAATGTTTAATGTCTTTTGTTGACTTTCTTTGATTTCTAATTTTTAAATCAAAGCCAAATTTTAAAAACTAGAAAACTGTTTGTAAACAAGGGTTTTGCATAAGGTCTCTAGGTTTCCTAAGGTGTAGAGTCGGTGTCAATTTAGTTCTTAAGGTTTCAAACGATACATTTTAGTCACGATGAACGAGTTAATTTGAACATTTGTTGACTAACCAAAAATATTAAGGTGGCATGACGTAACAAATTTTAGTAATTTTATTATAATGACTAGGTCCCTATGTCTCTCTTTCCAAAATTTACTCTAATGTTCGTCACATTTCTGATCTTGAACTTTTTAAAATTTTCTTTTTGGTACTTGAATAAAACTTGAAAATTGTATTTGCATAAATAAATAAATAAATAAATATAATTTTAAAACTTGAAAATTGTACTTGCATAAATAAATCATATATCTGATTTTTATAATTAAAAATTATACTTAATATAAATAAATAACTTTAAATGAATATTGTTTTGTAAATTATATTTGAATTTAAGCATGATTTATTTTACAGGACGAAGTGTTGATTGCGGGATTTGGACGTAAGGGTCATGCTGTGGGAGATATTCCTGGTGTTAGGTTCAAAGTTGTGAAAGTTTCTGGGGTTTCACTTTTGGCTCTCTTCAAGGAGAAGAAAGAGAAGCCGAGGTCCTAGAAACGCCTTCGCTAATCACTGGTTTTTGTGTACTCTTAATTTAATTTAAATTCAAATCATCCATCAAATTTTGATACACTCTTAATTTTTTAATTTGAACGCTTATGCATGACAGTGTACAGGGGGTTGATTAGAATCATCTCGACGATGCTATTGATTCTTCTTCAAACAGCTTCAATGGACAATAACAAAATGTGATAAAAATTGATTGAAATCAACTTCAATGATGTATAACTAACTATCTTGATTTAATTCAGTTCACGCGGTTGTTTAGGCGAATGGAGTTAACCTGCATGGCTAAACCCTCAATTTGTGGATCCACAAAACTTACCTCATTTTCCTTGTCGTCTAATTCAGCGTACCGCGAGATGATCTTCTTGGCTTTCATAGATTGATTACATTGGACAATCCTGTTATATGACGCAACTGTCGGACTTCTGTTGCCTTTTGTGGAGGCGACACACACTGGTGATCCTCCATATTTATCATTTCGGATCTCGGCCCGTGGTCGAGTTCTAGGGGATGGAAGCTCAGTACATCGAGTATGAACATCCTGCTTAGCGTCAACAATGGTGGCTAACCGCAACATAGTTTCCTGTTCATAAACAGGGATTCAATGTCAGCAAAAGAACGAGAACCTTTTAAGTAAAAAAATGGAGCTTTTAGGAATGAACTGACCCGGTCGAAAAAGCCAAGTTTTGGTGACGGCATTCGCAGGCCGGAAGGTTTTACTTCTCTTAATATTCTCGAAGCATCAGTATTCCCATCTTCTTTAAGGTCTTTTCTATGGCGTCGATTAACTGATGTTTCATGTCGATTCTCTTTATCCATAAGAGGACTTTTAATAAGACTGGAATATGGACTTCGCTTGGATCTGTTGGTACATCTTCGAGCTGTTGAAGTGGTTTCTAAAGGCCATTCCTCAATTGAGCTTGCTGGTGATCCATACCATGAGGATGTTGGTGTGGACTGGCAAGAACTTTCCACTTCTGTCTTGCTTGCCCTCGTCTTCATCAATGGAGTCGTCGAAGCTGAACCGGTGGTGAAAATGTTCGAAGTTCGGAAGTTGGTTTTTCTTCTCAAAACTGGAGGTGATTTTCGAATGGTTACCTCAGATGGAGGACGGCGGGTGAGTTTTTTAGATGTTGTAAAATGTGGCAGAGATGATCTAAGCGACTGAGTGGAGCCATGGATGGCACTGAACGAGTCCCTTAAACATGGTTTCTTTAACTTGCCAAAACCTTCTACTGTTAACAAAAAAAAAAAAAACGAACTCTTTATGAGTTACATTATTGATTGAATTTATGAATTTCTTTTCAGTGAAGCAACCTGAACTTTTTTTATGAGTTAAATTGATTGAATTGAGGCGTACCCGAAGCCGAAACCCCAGACCTGCATCCCAGTTTGACATGCTTTTCGCCCCAGGAAGCAATTTTAGTTGAACTTCTTGAAACGAAGCTTGTCTTCTCTGAGGCCTTGAATGGTTTAAGGGAAGAAGATGAATAATGTTCCCTACTTTCACCCATATGTTTCAGCTAAAAGAGATATGCACTCGTCAGTACAATTTAGAGGTTCTTAATTTTGTGGCGTAGCTGCAAATCTAAAGCTTTCAAAATTCAGGCTTATCATATTAGCTGCAAACTCTGCTCTTTCGAGTGGAAATAAGAAGGAAGCTTTAACAGATATCACCCAAACCTGAACGTACCTGTATTTTTGGTGACTTTGGCATCTGTCCAATTATCTTCTTTGATGCATGCTTATGAACACTATGCCTTCTGCAAGTTGGCACGTCCTTCATCTGAAATATTAATGCAAAGTATTATTTGGGGAACTAAGATGGATTAATGAATAAATAATTATGATGGAGGCAAGAAATTACCATAGTTCGAGAACCATCCGGTTTGGCTGAAGCTGTAATGAAGGGAAATAAAAAACCAGATGAACATAATGACAGTTCGTCTCAAATTGGTGTAAGAATGGAAGAATTTTCTGGGACGTTTCATTGACTTCTGATAGTTTTTGGGTTTTAATTAGATTTCATGCTCTATTGGTGTAAACATAAACACCCTTTATGAAATTTAATATAGATTTATAGAAACTCCAAGAAGCTTCTAGATGATATATCTAATATTGAAGATAGGTATGTTATTTAATATTTAACAAATCCTGTCAAAGGCTGAGCTACAGATTCCATTACCTGTTCTTCCCTGTTCAAACCTTGAAGCATTTAGTTTGGTAATGGATGCTCTGATGTCTTCAAAAAGATCCATCTCAAGTCTAGTTAATGAGGAGCCTTCGCTATCTAAGGTACTGTTGGACTCCATAGACCTCCAAACATCATCCTCAATAACAGGAAGCAAATGGCCTTCAGATTTCTTTAAACCGTTGTTAACAATGGCCAATTCAAAAGGGTTCAAAACTCCTGAAATATAGAAAGAACATTTGTTCGAACAGATTAAGCCATCCATTTTTTGAACAACCAAACGGCATATACTATTGGGGATAGTTTAAAGCATACCTTCGCTGGTGAAAAATCCATTATCCCAAGCTAAGCTCTTACGGAAGTTGTAATTTTCGTTATTAGTGTCTGGTTCTAGTGATTGAGAAGATAATAAAAGATGTTCTTCGCTCCCCAGTATGTCAACCACATTGTCATAATTCCTTGAATTCAAGGTCGTAAATAGTTCCTCGGGTTCCAGTACTCCTGTCAATAAATGTAGTCAAATCAACTATAGGCTTGCATAGAAAATGTGGACTGAAAGTAAATTTTATAGAAGACGTACCTGGACTAGTAAAGAAGGCGCTATCCCAGGCAAGACTCATGCGCCCATTGCACTTGGAATCCGGCAATACCTGTTCCTTGGAATCTCCATTTTCGCGCCCATGAAGACCATCAACCTTCCTCCGGATGTTCGAGCTTGCTGTCAAATACGATTCAATCAGAAAATAGCCAAGCATGCAAAAAGTATTCAAGGATCAACACAGGAGGAAGATGGATTTTACTTGTGCCCGAAACCTTATACTAGAGAGGATTAGCTTTCATCAGCTAAAAGTTCCTCTCAGGAAAAAGAAAACCATAACAAAGAAACAATTAGATTGAACATAGTACTCTTCTACTGGCAGTGAAACGATCATACCCTGGCATAAGGAAGCTAAGCATTGCAACGATTGCGCACGAAACTAAAGAAGCTAGTAAGCCGCATCTAATCAATAAAAGTACGATGTATAAAAGTAAAAAGTTCTATAACCATTAGGATGCTATATGCACGGATTCAGAGGTTTCATTTATTCATCGTTTTTTTTTTATGAGAATAAAATGGAAATTTCAGAACAATCACCACCTGACATAATGGAGCTCGTCATTGAAACGATCGTAAACAAGAACTTACACGGAAGCAACATTGAGAAGATTAGGCCACATCATAATCAATAAAAAGTCATTTCAAAATTCAAGCATCTAATCAAATTACGATGTACAAAAATTGAAACTCTCGAACAATTAAGACAAAAGAGAAGATGAAATTCCAGACGATATGTAAGGAATCGAGTTTCCATGTATTCATCGTTATTTTAAGAGAATATAACAGAAATTTCAATCAACCTTCCCCTTGACATGACGAAGCTCGGCATGGAAACGATCGAACACAGAAGAAATGTTCACAGTAGCAAGATTGAGAAGCTTGCAAACCTCATCATAATCAATACGAAAATTAATTCAAGAATCTAGCATCTCTTTCATCTAAGTCAATGAATAGTAATCAAAATTCAATAACAATTAGGTAAGAGAAGATGAAATTTCAGAAAATGCGACAGAATTTGAGTATCCACATGTAGGTATCGTAAAAGAATCCGAGTACACAAAAAAAACTGCAGAGTGAAAAAATTCACTATTCATCAAAAGTGACATAACATAACAACGAAATTACAGACAATCGCACGACTCAAAATGTTAAGAAATGAAGAACGAGAAAAGAAAGAATCAAAATCATGCTACTCCGATGTTAAAAAGTTCAAATATAGCGATAGTAGTAAACGCTGAAGAGAAATAAACGAATCAAACTAGAAAGCAAAGAACAGAGAATCGAAAGCAAAGTACCTAAGACTTGAGAATCTTGAAATCCGTTTTCAGAGGACATAACGACGGATTCAATCTTCTCATTCATCATGAATCATCTATTGGCGAGGGATTCCGAGGGAAATGGAAGAGGCAGAGAACTTTTTGAATTTTGGAGACGCAGATTATGAGTGTTAAGGAAATGTTTACAAAAACTAATAATTGTGGAAATGGTGAAACGGCTGCAGTTATCGTAGAAGCGGGAGCGGGCAATTGAATATTTGAATTATTATTAATATATATATATATTTTTTAGTCCAAATCAAAACATTTTTGTTAGGTTAAATTAGAAGTTTAATTTTTTTTTGTATTAAAATGCAAATATTTAGGGTGGTCCCCACAGTAACTAGAGCTGTACGCATTATACAGAAAGCACAGCCCGTTCAAATCGCATAGGTTAAGTGCTATTGATCGAACATTTTTTTCAATTAAAAAAAAATTAAGATTTTAATTTAACTTAAATTTATTCAAAGAAATTAATTTTTAAGTAGCCCGAAAATGGTTTCTAATTAGTCGAATAAAAAATTATTAAAATTTTAAGAACAAAAATTATTTAATTTTTAAAATTTAAAAAACTTGATGTATTTCATCAAAAATTTTAAACAAGCAAGCTAACTTTGGCGGATTATATTTAAATTTTTTTAAAAAAATTTAAAATAATTAATATCGTAAAATGGTTATGTGACTGAATTAAATATGGAAATGCATTAAATGTACAGAAATCTCAGGGTATTTAATATTCAATTATAATCTCTTTCTCTTGTAACTGATTATTTAAATTTTAAAATGTTAGTATTTTCAAATTATACAAACTTGTAGAGGCCGTTTGTTTAGATATATTACATTAAAGAGTAATTATTTACTTTTTAGAAATGTTTTTTTTTTGAAAATTAAAATAATAAATTTCATTCAAATGAAAATGAGTATTCGAATCTCTGATTTTTTGGTCGAGAATATATATTTTAACGAATTTAGTAGATTGACCCAAATCAATTACATTTCAATTAAACACAAATTACCTGAAGATTAAGCGTGAGATGAATAACAAGTTTTTTGCCCAAAGATTCGAACAACTTTTAATAGTCTCTCGAAACCCTAATTGCATTGACAGAAATACGCCTACTTCATATGTCATAAAAATTTGAAAAAATAAAAATAAAAATAACGTTGAAATCAATAAATTCAAATTAAAGATTCATCTAAATTAATAGCTGAGCTATGCAACAACAAGATCCCCTTGATCTTTGCTGGATGTGCTTGACGAGTCTCCGCTAGTTGAACCCCGTCCAGTAGACTCCCTGTTTGGCTCATCCCCTTCGTCAACTCTTTTATCGGGATATGGCTCATCCCCTTCGTCAACTCTTTTATCGGGATACTATTACCTAATTTCGTAAAGTTTGAATGGATGGGGAGCGTAGGACATGAAATCGATGACAGACCGTTTTGGAGGTAGAAACTTTATTTTTCTCTTCTATTATTTTGGACTTCATATTTCTTAGTTATTTTAAAATAACCATAATAACTGTGCATATTTCGAGAAAATTGTGCTAATTTTTAAATTCTGAGTTGGAAATCAAGAGGAATAATTAACTATTAATATTTAAATTAAAAGATAAAAAATGTAGGTTAATAATGGACAAGGCTAAAATGGAGATAAAGTTTTAAATGTATTTTATTTTATTTTATTTTCTATCATCCTTTCATTACAAAAATAATAATAATTACAATGTGATTACTTCTCCATTTTTGAAAAATCAGTACTGAAGTAGAAATAGGGGCTAAATTTAAAATTTATACAAATACAAGGACTAAAAATGACCACATTTCAAATAAAAGGACCAAAATGATATTTTTAACCTTTATAATTCTACTAATCTGATGGTAAACACAGATTTGGGTTTCGCCTTGGGACCGAAATTGCCGAATGCCCAGAAACGACGAAGAACTGTACAAGACGAGATCCCGCAGTTATTCTTTTAATTGTCATACAACTTCTAGATCCAAACAAATCATTCTTTTCATGCAATAACAAACACAATTGCTCTAAAAGTAGATAGGGATCGACTCGACACTTATGCGATATACACCGAAAGCCTCCTTTCTTCATTTTATCTACCAACTTGCTAAAAATGGGTGAAATTTTCCACAGATTTTGTCGTTGTCGTCTATGGTTGGTTCCCTTCATCCTCCATGTTCTAGCAGCGAAGAAAGCTCGACTCAGAGATTAAACTGTTGGGATCTGTATGTATGTCGGCGACCGTTGACAAAATACTGTGACGAAATAACTCCTGTAACGGACTGGGGAGCGGTAAATTAAAATGTTCGAAGCAAACTCGCATACTTCCGAAGCCTGCTGTGGTTGACTTCAACTATCAGGGAGGGAACTTATGATGAACTAAGCTCACTTCTTTCGACTATAATGCATGCCACCGCCGGGATACCGATGATGGGGATGATGCGACCCACCGCTCCTCCCGCCGGAGGCGTCCCAGTTGTTGCCCCGAGTAGGGGCTCTATTGTTCCCTGTTTGCATCCAATTCATTGTTTGGGAGCCTAATCCATTAAGTTCTTCCTCTTCACGGTCATTGTACTCCAAGATTAACCTCTTAATATCTTGCTTCTCTTCTAGCTCCTCTGCTTCTTTCTGTTTAGTGCTCTGTAAAAGTGCACTATCACGAGGGATATACATCTTCTTGGTTTGCTGCTTGTTCCCACGCTTCACAAGAACTTTCACCTGAACCTCCTTGCTTCCCCCAGCATCCTCTTCCAATGCCTCATCCCCACTTTCTCCCCCAGCCCCCCTTCCATGGTGGTCCCTTGTCGATCCCTCGAATAAATTCATTGGTATCATCATATTCAATGTTGGTCGGCCACGTAGCTCTTGCCTGCGCTGGTCCATACTCTCCTGCATTCGGAAATAACCTTATGTACGGCGTCGATAAATTTGTAAAAATTAATAAAATGTACAGTAAGTGATCACAGAAATCTTGCCTGCATGACAGCCCTGAGCTCCTGCTCGAAATTGGCTTCTTCTCTGGGGTCTACCTCAGCCACTTTTGGCCTCACGTGAACCTCATCGTCCTCATCAGAAGCAGGCCCACCCGCTTCTTCATCGTCTTCGTCATCCTCAGTGTCACATCCATCTTCATGATTCTCCAAGTCCGACTCTTCATCATCGTGTCCCTCTGCCTCAATAGTGCCACTTCCTGTATCACTGTCGCTATCAACACCGTCTTCATGAGCTGCACCATTTTCCTTGGAGCCATTCATCGTGTCCCTTCCATTAGCTGAGGTGGTATTGGAAGTTGCTCTGCTAGGCTTTTTGGCATCGAGGTGTTTCTCAATATTGGGCTTGACATTCGAGACAGAACGTTCATGCTCGTCGAGTTCTACGAAAGCAGCATTTATCTCTTCAATGGATGAGTATCTGGTCATGTTTGGTTGCAATTCCGCAAATAAATCCTGTAAAGGCAACTTCATCAGAATCAAGGAAGATAAAATAAATGAAGATGCATTAGGAAGTATTCAGCAAAAATCTATACATTCTCCCACTTCTTAAAGATTCACCAAATTGACAAAGATCACAAAAACTTCAATCACACTAGTGACCATTAAATAAACTCACGAATAATTTGCAAATATTATAGAACACGTTTCAATGAGCCTAAGAATTTCGGGCACTTGTTAGCATGATAGAGTTTGTTAGACACTCGAATACAAGTGTAGGTTTGGAGATAGAACCATGTCCATAACAAAACAAGGATGAAAACTATGAACTTAACATCAGCTGTTATCTTACAATGACATACATTTGAAAAATATTTAGCAAGTAAACTAACAAGGTAAACAACTGACCTGTAAGTCAAACTCAACGTCCAACGGAAGCGCGCCTTTGCTGAGAATATATTTCTGGAAGTGTATAAAAAATCGATCAAGTTTCCTCTTGGAAGATCCTCGATCAAAGTAGTGACCACAGGTTTGAAGAAGAGTGATAATCATCCTTATGCGGAAAGTGTCCTCCGGTGGATCTAATACATCTTGCTAAAAGCAACAAAAATCAACCACATTAGCCTTGAAACAAACCATTCATTTAGCCAAGCACCACGAAACAAACTTGCACTCCATAAACCAAGACTAGGTATCCTCCACAAGCCTTTAACATACGTTTGTTCTAGTTCATTCATTGGAAATTAACAGATTGCACATCCTATTAGGGGCTCGACTCCTTACTATTTTACTGCCCCAGCAGCTAGCAAGCATAAAAATGAATTAAAGAAGCCAATTTTAATTTGATAAAATGACAACCATATCATCAAGCAAACGATATCTTCAGATACTAGTTTCGGGTCTGATGTTTGGATTGGCAATGTGGCTTTAAGAGACCATTTTCCATCCCCGTATGCTATTACACTAAAGGCTGATGGTTCTGTGGCTGATATGAGGAATAATACCTTAATGAATCTTTTGACATTTGGTGCTGGAATTTAGACAGGAATGGTTTTATCTTCAATGGGTGATTTGGGCTGTAGAAATCTCTATGTGACCAACTCAGATGGAAAATATCCCAAAAAGGTGAAGTTCTTTCCTTGGGAGGTAGGCCACTCGAGCCTTAATACTTAAGACAAGCTACAAACGTGCCCTCTTTGGATATCCATCTCTCCAGACTGCTGCATTGTGAGTGAAACTGATGGGGAATCTATAACTACCTCTTCTTTTGGTGCCAACGTGTCAAAATCTTTTGAGATTTCTTCCTATAACGCACTCAATGTAGACTAGAAAGAAGAGGCTTCGCCGTGGGCTGCGCTAGGAGAGTTGCTACTGCTTCACTCTTCTTCAGCCGATTCTGATACTGAATTGTATCTTTTGGAGAGAGGTGCACAAACTTCGACTAATGCGGATGAGGACGCAATTCCCTCATCGTGAAAGTAATGAAAGGGAAGCCCTCGGTCAGCTCAATAGACACTCAAAGGAGTAGTAAAACCAACCATCACTAAGCTTGAAGGTTCATAGAGAAAACAATTATTCAGATATACACACAGATCTATGTTCTTGAAGAGTCTTGAAGAAGGCCACCAACACCCGGCACAAATATAATACTACGGTAATTATATTTTTATCCATGCCAGGCTTAAAAAGGCAATGTAAG